TTTCGGACATTATTGTAATATTCTAAAAATTGATTGGTTAATTATCACGTATACCAACATGACCAATCATCAAATTTCAAGTGAATCGATCAACCTCTTACTTTTATTGGGCAGATCGGTTCTGAGTCATAAATTTCAAGTTTGGAAGTTTATACCACCAGGATTGTTCACTATGCTAAGATAAGATATGTCAATCCTATTTTACCCAATGTAAACAAACATCAACGATTGGCTGGAAATACCCATAAGTCTACCCAGATCGAACTTTCAGTTGAACGGTTCAAAACACTAGTAGTCGGTCGAATGATTTCAGGACTGTTGAACTTTCTATCTTCACTAATTAATAATGAGGCTAAAAATGCATCAGCAAGAAAAGTGTTTCATAATTTCACTAGACTTTCAGATACCCTTGATGAAGCCGAAGTAGTTGTGTAATTAGTTGTAATACTAAGCAATCTAGGAATAAGAAGAACTACTTGAAATAGTTCTAGTTTGGTAAGATGATCTAGTAATAAAGTAAAAATTTGGTATTATTAATATATTGATACGGGTTTGACAATAAGAAGAGTGCAAGATTAAGTATTCGATATTATTGGTAAATATGACAAAGACGAAAAAATAAGACATTTACCAACGGAAGGTGCCACATTTTTCTTATTTGTACTCTCAGACTTCTGTAACATATAAAGGAAGATTGTGAATAAAGATTCTTAACATAAGATGCGATTCTTCCTCTAGAATCATCAAAGAATCTAATAGTAAGTTATGCACGTCGCAGAGGAAGTGAGATAAGGTACTCACGATGGCTGGACGCTCTTTTTCCCCAAGCTTGATGGGTCAGGGCGTAGCATACTCACTATTCTCGTTAACACTTTCATATTTTTAAGAATGTGTAAAAGGACCACACTCACTATTCTTGTTAATACTTCCACATTTTTGAGAATGTGTAAAAGCACTAACCTCTAGTTTATGCTTCAATGCCAAGACCTTTTTACTTTCCTTTGTTCGTAATTCCAGGTTTCTTACCAAAACGTCAAGATCACTACCAAAATCATTGCGTGACTTCCTCTCTGATGTTACTTCAGGATATGCTTCGAAATAGAAGGGTTCCCAAGTATTTATTCCCTACTGTGTGTATGGTCTTTGCCAATAACTAGAATATCGAAGTTGGTTTAAAATTTCTTTTGACAACATTGAGGTAGTGAAAAAAATAATAAAAAGTAAGTTATAAAGTCATAGCTTAAATATTTACCCAGCTTTTGGCTATTATTCAAAAAATTAGTTCTAAAAACACGAAAATGAAAAGCTGTATACACGTTTAATAAAAATCTGATAGTGTTAGATACTAAATGATTTACTATCATAGGACAGCACTATATGATTGGCCCACTATTTAAGATTTTTAAGATTTTGTCGATTATCATATATAGTAATTTTATAATAAAAATGGTATATTTTGAAAATGGTATAACTCTTGTTCTAGTAGAGCAAATTCAATTATGTGACTTATAAATGAGATATTTTTTATTTCATTTCATTAATTTGGCTAAAATTACGAATTAACAAATTTTAACAATTCTTTAAATGATTAAATTATAGAGAACTACTAAAATCTACTTATTAATATTAAATATTGCAACATAGTTTTAAAAGCAAGCTATTTGTACGCCATTTACACGTTACAGAATTAAATTTGCTCTACTAGAGCAGGAGTTATAACGTTTTAAAGATATTATTTAAACAATTATATTATAGAGACCTACTAAAATTCATATATTAATATTAAACATGGTATTATAGTTTTAAAACAACGCTATTTTTTTATCATTTTCAAGTTACAGAATCGAATTTACTTTACTAGGAAGGAAGTTATAACATTTTAAAAATACATAGTTTTTACTACTATAAATTTTTTTAACAAATTGATCGACAAAATTTTAATTCAAAGATCGAAAAGACTGCTAAGCAGTGATACACTACGTACAAGCGACGATCACATGGGTGATCCCGGTTCCAACAAGAGAATCCGGTATATGCAAGGGGGAGATAAGTATAAATTTAATGAAGTCACTAATTTAGGAGCTTATGGCGCGAATACTAACGCTAATATCAACGATATATCCAAATTTAACAGAGAACGTATACAATATCATACAGATATAAAACGGAAGAGCGGCAGGGCGGCACAACAGCAGCCCTTTCAAGAGGCAAATCAATTTCGCACCCTGCCCTACCCTCCCTCACTGCCATTTTGTGACAGCTTAAACATCTCTTTACAGCCGGTCTGCGTTATGCAGGTGCTAAGATCACATGACTACAAAGCTTCTGGCTAACAGCCGGCCTGCACTTATGCGGGTGGGAAACCACCGGCTAATGCCAATTATACATCAAACGCACTGATGTATGCTATAACTCTAATAAAGTTTGAATATCCAACGCTATTAGCGCTGGAATGCATCCAACAATTATATCATATGCGTGCAGTTCTTTTCGGAATCTTACATAGTGGGCCAATCATATAATACTACACTATGATAGTAAATCATTTGGTGTCTAACCCCAACCAATTATTCTTTTAAAATATAAAATCGAATTATAAGTAATAAATTTCAAGAGTAATCGTTCAAACACTAAATTATTACTTATTTCTCCAATCGTGACTTCAAAGTAAAACAGCCCACATTGAGAAGGAATCAGATAATTGATCAAATTGTAGCGCAAATTTCATAATTATCAGATCCTTTTTATTTGAAAAATTGATGCTTCCAGCTATATTTGTAGCATGGAAAGTTATGTTGTATGATATATTACAAATGTACAAATCTATTTAAAATTCGTTGATTAAGATGTTACGCATATTAGATGAATTAACTTTAAACTCTTCAGTATAGGCCTGCGTTGGGTCCCGCAACTATAGGGTAACTTATCAGTTTATCAAGATAAATGCCCGACCTAGTACCTCCCAGGATTTAGACACTGGTATATTTCAATACCATCACACAAAAATTCTGATTTATACCCGGGTATAAAGGAAGATTGCAAAACTAGTAACGTCCAATTAAAATGATCTCTGCCTAAGTTCAACTCAAAATACCTCTTGATTTATACCTCCTCTTTACTCGGTACTCTTCGAATACATATCCAGGCAGCGCTCTACGTAAGTAATGATGTGAATAAAGTAAAATTTAAATTAAATGCAATATGGGGTTTCAAATTAAAAAATAAGTGACGTATTTCGAAAATAAGTAGGATTTTTTTCAATAGCATTTTTACTATGTTGAATTATAAATCGGAAAAATAAAATAAGATTCGCTGATTTTAATTTTGAAGCCCCCCTATTAACTAAAATTAAATAGTAAAGATTTAAGTGAATGACTTAATTTAAACCAAATATTTGTTTATACTTGAATAGTTTATTTCAAATATTTATAATTAACAAGTTTTCTTGAAAATTAAGTAGTAAATGTTCATGAACCTTTAAACACTTAGATTCATCAATTTATTCTATATTTATATAAATTAACGTGAATAAAAGAATTAAATAGTAAGTATTCATATATTTAAATTGGTAGTTTAATGTATTGGTAGTGATTTTGCTGTGGAAATGAGTGTTAAATATTTTCTACTATTGTACAGGATAAACTAAACGTAGCGGGGTGATCTGTATGCATGTTGCGATCATCATGTAAAGTTCTTTAAAGTTTATTAATGTTAGGGTCGGGTTTTGTATAAAGTTAAAAGCTAAGTGGTTATATAGTAAAATCGCACAAGGAAAACTTTTTGTTAGTGCACTAAAGGTGGTTTACTATGCAGATTTTTGAGAAAGAAGCGATTTTTGGCAAAACGAATGTTTGTTTTGATCGTGTTATGTTACACCTGATTCTCAAATCTGATTTGTAGATCATGCATAATCATAACTAAGCACAGATTTTTTGAATGCGATGATGTATATCTGATAGCTACGCATTGCCCTTCAGTTTCAAAGATCTGAATCTAAATTTACACATTAAAGCATTATGTCTTCAGAATATCGCAAAGAACTAATCAAAGCTGGAATTGTAAACTTCTGGAATCGAAAAAATGTTTCAAAAGGTGTTGGGACGTTAAGTTGTCTTCAACAACTTGATTCTAAGCTAGATTTAAAATTGCATGAAAAGCAATTTGTTCACACAGCTTATTTTAATCATCTCAAGAAACTTTCTAAGAAGCAAATGATTAGTTAGTTATTACGAACCAAAATTTTAAACGAGATTAAAAATTCTATAGTATGTATATATGCATAGGGAGAAGGAAGCCAGAAAGTTACAAGATATTTTATATTTGTTTTTTTCCTTAGAAAATAATAAACTCTCCTGAAATAATTGAGTTTTGGAAAAGAAAGAATGAAGGTTCTTACAGAAAGCCATTAGACAAACATACAAGAAAAGAAAACAAAGATTTAAGCTCTCTTCATCTCGCACAGTTACAAAATAAAGATGACAATAATGAGGAGGAATTTAGTACAAAATATGATGAAGATAATAATGACGAACATAATAAAGATGAAGATGATAAAGATGAATGTAATAAAGATGAAGATGATAAAGACGAATATAATAAAGATGAAGATGATAAAGACAAATATAATAAAGTTGAAGATGATAAAGATGAATATAATAAAGTTGAAGACAATAAAGATGAAGCCGATAAAGATGAAGCTGATAGAGATGAAGCTGATAAAGATAAAGATGTTTTCTTCTCTATTGTAATGGATAATAAAACATTGATTAATAATCTCATTTCAGATGAAGATGCAAAAATTGTGGAAAGATATAAACTAGATACTATAGGTTGGTCCAAGTACTGAATTTTATCAACAGGGACTGATGTAGGTCAAGTTTTAACCACTTATAGAGATCAGATTCCTGAATCACAAAAATGCATTAAGTTTTTTGAAAACATAAAATCAAGTTTGAATTTTAAACACTAATTACATCTTTTAATAATGTTTATCTTTTGTTCTATTCAAAGTCCTATTTATTGGGGAATACTCGATCTTACTGAATCTCATGTAGAAACAAGGCAACTTTTTACTACAAAAGATTAGAGTAAGATGTTAAAAAATTTTGAAGATGAAGTAAAAATTATTAAACAAGATATATCTAATGTTATATATTTGCTTTTTGATGAAGTTGAACAGGTAATTAATAATAAATGATGTATATTACATTCATATTTGTTATATTTTATAATGTTTTTCGTTTAGATAATAAAAAATAATGAGAAAAATGAGGCTATTGTATTGCTGTATTGGCAATTGACAATATTTTGTTGCAAGAAATAGAATCAAAATACAAGATCATTCTTAGTGAACAAGACAAGGCCAATATGATTGAAATAAAATGAGCGCTCTTAACATAGTAAGTAAAATATAGTATAGACATTTTCTTGAGATGAATTTTAATTTTTCTTTGGCCATGTTTTTACAGTGCTAAAAACTTGGCAAGTGTTGATCTGCCAGTTTCAGAGTCTGCATTTGATAATTTATTTACAAGTATGCTTACAAGAAGATTCCTTGATAATACCAAACTAAAAATGGACTCGTAAGTTGAAAAAATTATGCAGTTGATAACTTTTTATTTATTAATTCTTTATATAAATATACATGTTTTTTAGGGGAGATTTGCTCTTGGGTTTCAGCTATATGCCATAACAAAGGTCGTTTAATTACATTACGTGCTTGTGTAGAGCAAAAATGTGATTTCCAAGGAACATTAAAGCATATAATAAATAAATTGGAAGTGGTAACTGGCCTCCGAAGTGGTGGTCTTTTGGAACCACACTGTAAAAAAATTTTTTTAAACTCACTTGACTTGGCTATAACTATGAGAGATATTCTATATATATTTTTTGAATCTAATGCAAACTTTCCAGATAAAGACTTGCATAAATTATTTGTTCTCAGATTGCAATCATGGGGTAAGCAGATATCAGCTCCAGGATATAGGATCAGTTTTTCATACATGAGATCAATTAGCCAATTAAAATCTATACTATTAAACTGCTAACAAAAAAAATTTCTCATGCAATTTTATTATAAAACACCCCTTTCTAACTCTACAACTAAACTCTAATATAAATGTGTTTTTTTGTTTGAAATTAATCACGGAAAATCATGACAGAAAATCGATCCTATATTTTGTTAATTTATAATCCTTTATACAACCATCCCTCATTCAAATTAATTGCTTATATTATTTTGTTTTAAAGGTTGGACACATCAGGTCACTGCAATAGATTGTAAAGGGACAAATATTTGTAGGTATGGAAAGTTGTATATAACAGCATTGCCTAATTCAATAAGAACGCTTGTATGTTTAGAAAAGTTTTATATTGAAATGAAAAATCTTAAGGTAATTTTTAAATTGTTACGTTACTGCTTTATAATTTGTATGATACAATTCTCAATGCAATTATATAATAGACTACTAT